GTGCGGGAAGATGGAGACGCAGCACGATGTCTCCCACACGCTGAGGGTAAGCGAACAAGTCACCCAGCACAAGGCGGCTCTAGATGAGGCAGCGCCGTGGTCCCGGGAGGGTCGGGCTCTCGGACGGGGTGGAGAGAGGCTTCCGGCCGAGCCAAGACACCAGGACAGGACGCTGCTCGTCGCACCTTACATGTTATAAGCCAACGTCACCGCAACATCAACTCTTCAAAATTGAGTAAAAAATTAAAGAAACCCATGTGGCTTAAGACAAAAGCCCAAGGGTGAGGAACAGGCCTCGGGGGCGGCCTCGGGCCTAGCCAAGGGGCGTGGCAAGAACCCCAAGAAGCCCTTCAGGTACCCTTGGGATTCTGCTAGGTCATTAGCAAACTCAAGTGCCCCAGGGGAAACCAGCCAACTTCAGGGCCGCTGGGCGCTGGCTGCAGCCGGGACTCACGCCCCAGGGCCACTCGGGGACAGTGGGCGTCACGTTGTCCTGCGCCCAGTCGGGAAATCTTGTGAGACTCGCTGCGCCTGAACACTTTCAGGGCGGTTTAAGTCCTGTCGTCTTACATGCGGACGGTGGCAGGAGACACTGGGTCGTATTGTTAGAGTTGGTCACGCGAGAGTGAAACCCACTTCACACGTCTGAGTGATTCCAGCGCGACCTAACTAGCAGCGACTGGGCACGCGCCCTAAAAGCGTCCTCGAAGGAGTTTAACAGCTACTTTACGACTTTTAATTCTGTAGTTTATCTGACTCCATATTCCCACTCTGCTCCCCGCCCATGTTTTCCGTCACAAATGTCCTTCGGTCAAACAGCTGCGCCACACTCCACTAACACACGTGTCATGTGGTAACCAGCCTCCAAGGGTAAAAGCTGCTCGCTCCTGCATTGTCAGTCAGTGCTGCAATGAAGCAAGCAAGATCCTGCACATTTTACCAAGCAAAGATTAGACGCGAAAGGCTTTTATTGGCAAAACATCTTTTTAGCAACATGGCTAGTTTTGACTTCCCAGTTGGTGCTATGGATTCAGCACGTCTTCAGTTTCATTTTGCTTTTGCAAGAACTGAGAAAGCTTTCCCCATAAATTAGATTTTATTTTGTGTGTAGAAGAACTGGGGTACAGGCCAGAGGTACAGGGGGTGAACGGACCCTCCAGGGACAGGGGGGAGCAGAACAGGCAGGTCCACTGAGACCCCCTGCGGCGGGGGCAGCGGGAGACGGGGGCTGCTGCGCGCTGGGGTCCCTCCCTGGCCGGGGTGTGGGGTGACAGCCCAGCGGGCTGCAGGACCCGTGGGCCGCCCCGCGAGCTCCCCGCCGGCACCACGGCGAAGCCAACTGGGCGTCTGAATGTGCGCGCCCGCGTGGCGTCTCCCACGGTGCAGCTCCCCGCTTCGAGCCAGGGCGAGTGCGGGCCGCGCGGCCACCGGCGGTCTGCTGTCCCCAGGCGGGGACGGGCCGGGGCTCCCGGAGGGCAGCGCTAGTCTTCCTTGCTGGCTAGAAAGGAGCTCTCCAGAGCGCGGGTGAAGCGCCCCTTCAGCTCCGCCTTGAAGTGCTGGTACCAGTGCAGCAGCCGCTTTCTCCGCTGCACCTTCTCGCGCTGCGGCGCCGCCCGCTCCCTCTCCAGGAGCGCGGGGAGCTCCTCCCAGCTCCGCACGAAGATGAACGGGGCGCCCATGGCCTTGAGCAGCCGCAGGGGCGCGGGCTGGCAGCCGCCCGCGGCCGGCACGTCCTCCACCACGGGCACCGAGCCGCAGGCGCAGGCCTCGTAGATGCGGTAGCACTCGGGGTTGGCGCCCGCGGGGCACAGCGTGAGGTCGCTCTGCAGCAGGGCGTCCCGGTAGCTGCGCAGGCTCTCGTTGGTCTCCTGGGGCTGCCACCTGGCACAGAGGCGCTGGCGGTTGCCGAGCACCC